CCTTAAAGGAGCTCTTAATAGATATGTAAAACACTGATGACATAAAAACTGATAGTTTCCAAAGGGCAAAAGATAGCATATAAGAAAGTTAAGGGGCTAGTGCTTCAAAATATATAAATAGCTCTTCTAAACTATTAAGAAAAAGACAAACAACACAGTAGAAACACAGGCAAAGATACAAACAGGTAATTCATAGAAAAAGATATACAAGTATACCACAGCTTTACAGATAATCACATAAATGGAAATTAAATAACTCTATCCACTTAGACAAACATTTAAGCTACTGCTAATGTCCAGGGCAGGCAAGCATGTGAGGCAACAAGCATTCTCCAACAAAGCTGCATGAAGTAGATGTGATTAGTCACTTTGGGAACTATTTGGCAGTAGCTACCATAATTCTATTTACTCATATCTTCAGATCCAGTAATTCCCCTTCTAGGAATTCATTCTACAGAGATTCCCACAAGTGTTCAAGGGTAAGTATACAAGGATCTCCTTGTAGCATTATTTGTAACAGTAAAATTCAGGAAATAAGCTCAATTTCCATCAATAGGGGATAGTTAAATAGATTATATACAATGTCATTATTAAAAAGAATGAGGTAGAATCATATTTACTGACATGGGAAGATTTCCAAAACATATCAGGGAAAATCCAATTAAAGAAAATCATAATCTCATTCATGTAAAAATGTATATTATATATATGTACATAGCATATATCTAATATAATGTGTATGATATATATCACATGTGAAGGAAAAACTTGAGAGTCTCTGGTTTTTCACTTTATGCTTCCTAAATTGTTTGGAAATTAGTTAGCCTCAAGCACATATTACTTTTTACTAGAAACAATGAGTGTGTTTATTAAAAAGAAAAACAAACGATAATGACTGGCTCATCTCCTGTTAGAATAAAGTAGGCCGAGGTGGCGAGCGTGCGCATGCGTGTGTGTGTGTGTGTGTGTGTGTGTGTGTGTGTGTGTCTTGCTGTCTGAATGTGGCCATTTGACGGCAAAGCCCCTCACTAGAAGAGGCCCAGGAATGAGCCCCTCTGGAGACCACTACCCAATGAGCTGTGTTGGCCTCCCTGCTCTCTTCCTTGGCACACCTCTGCTCCAAGGACTTGATACTTATCACACACACACACACACACACACACACACGCACACAAGAGCAACCTTTCCCCAGAATTCCTGTGTGGTTTACCACGTGTCTGTCTGTCCTTTCTCCTGGCTATGTGTTGTTCAGTAGATGACTTAATTTCTCTGAGCCCTGGCTGCCTAGAAGCACAGCAGCAACTCTGCCCGCTCCTGCAGTCGTGAGTGCTGAAAGAGAAGGTGCACAGCAAGCCCACTGCCCCCCAGCACTGGGCCACCACCCTGCTAAGGAAGCACCACACCGCCCTCTCCCCTTCTGCAGTCCCTCTTGGCACCTACCCAGTGATGGCAGGGAATGTGGTCCTCATCCTACAGAGCTCGGTGTAGAGCCGAAAGTTACAAGCTCATGGTTGAGCTGGGACCAGAACTCAGAGCTCCTAGCTCCAGCGTGAACTTCAGCCTCAGGCTCTCGTTCAGCCTCAGGTGACTTCGCTCTCCTTAGCTCAGACTCAGGTCCTTGGTCAGACTCTGCCTGGGGGAAGGAAGGGACATGCATACATAGGGTGGGGACTATCTGTCTGTGTCTGGTTCTCTGAGCCCCGGGAGGGGTATAAACTACCCAGCAGTCCTATTTTCAGGATAGGTGGTGAGTGAAGAAGAGGGTGGGAAAGAAAGGGCACCTATGGGGCCCTGCCTGTTCCCATCATGCCTGCACACAGTAGGCACTCAACCAGTATCAACTTGGTCTTCCAGCTGACACTAATCCTGATTCAGCACTTCCAGTAGTGCGGTGACAGAAAGAGTTAGGCAAGGGTGGATTAAGGAACTCAAGAGGATTACTCAGTAAGCAGCTAAACCTCTTAAACTGCCTGGGAAAAGACTACAATCAGGCTGTTCATTAATTTATTCAACAAGTGACTGCTGAGCACTTAGCTGAGCTGGAAGGATGACAACAGCGATGGTACTGCTCAGTTGGCGAGATCTACCATGTGCCCATCAACGCTCCAAGGCTGAAATATCTTCCACGCACCCCCACCCCATTCTCTAATAGGGAAAGTGCTAGTTCGGGACTAGCGTGAGGCAGATGTGACACTTACGTATCACAGAAGTTTGAGGAGGCACTTGTTAGCACCCTGACTATGTCACCTCACCCTTGCCCCTGCCCCAGTGCTTGTGGGAACACCGTGATATACTGCCTAGGGCCCCCTTTCATCAAATCATTGCCCTCTCTGCTGGGAGTGCTGCGGGCAGACAGCCTTCCCGTGGTAGCAGACCCAAGGGTGGGCTCAGCTGGGGAGAGCTGCTCCGCCCACACTCACACTTCTGAAGCCCCAGCCATGGTCATGGTCCCTGGGTGACGCACACTGGATGACTGGTTGGGGCAGGAATACAAAGGCGTATAATGGCCTAACTCAAAATGACTCTGAGGGGCTCCTTTAGCTCCAGAGCTTGCACGGGGCTGGCCAGGGCTCTTATCAGGTCTGTTTTGTAGTTTTTGCTTCCCCGCTGCCTTTCTGTAGTGCAGCTCCCTAATAACCTTCTTGCAAATTGAACCCAGTCTCAGAGTCTGCTTCTTGCGAAACCCAACCAGTAACAGCATCACAACTGAAATAACAGCGGGATAAAACACAGCCTTCTTAAAGACTCTAAGACAAAGTCCCCAAAACGAAGGTTCAGGAATATTAGCACTGACCGCAAACCCCACTGTCCCAGATACTTTACCTGCATTAACTTATCTGATCTCCACAGTGACTCTACAGGGGAGGTACTATTAACATTCCCACTTTTCAGATGAGTCTGAGAGAAGTTCCACTTATCTTGCAGAAAAAACCAAGAGATTAGTTATGAAATCCAGTCAACCAAAAGATAATTCAAAATAAAGAATGTCAGTCTGGGGAGACTTTCATACACACAGGGATTTTATTTAGAAAAAAAGATGGAAATATGTCTTGTGTGTGCCATGACTCCATTTACAGGCTTTAGAGAGCCTGACCCCTGACTCCAAAGAGCCATCCCAGGCATGAGAGTGAAACGTACAGGACCAAAGGGCAGTGGGTTGCATTAGAAGGGCAGTCCCCCTGCCGAGAGGTGAGGGACACCTGTTGGAATTGTGTGCTTACATAAGAAAAGACTCGGAAGATGAGGGGACCTGCTTGAGGTCAGGCAGCTAGAAGGAACAGTTCTGGAACTGGATCCTGAGGCTGTCAGACTGCAAGTCCATTGCTCTTTCTATTGGCCTCTCTCCTCTACTCCAGATAGTAGGGTCAGAATTCTCCTATGTCAGGGATTTGGGAATCCAAGTGCCGGTTTGGCCAGCCTTATCTTTCTGTCTACTTGTCTGCTGTCCAGCTTGTCAGGAGTCCCTCTTGGAGGGCTGGTAGGGTTCAGCAGCTGGATTCCTTCCTCCACCCCCGCTTTAACTCCGGGAAATAGCAGGTGTTGAGTTTCCATTGTAATCCCCTCCATATGGAGAGCACTTGAGAGTTTATCAATTGCTTGTAAACCATCCCTCGCTTGTTCCTCACTTATGTTGGGGCTTATTGCCTTGTAAAGTACCAGGCATAGATATTAGCCTTATTTTACTGCTGGAGAAACTGAGGCCCAGGGAGAGGGGAACGCAGGCAGTGTTCAGCCCAGGATCAAACTTTCCTGTCCCACTTCAGCCCCTTGGTTTGTGTCTCTATTCTGAGGTCCTGGGACAAAACTAGAGTAAACACTGGCTGCTCTGAGCACAGAGCTCAGGCAGTCCGTCCTCAGAAGCCTAGGGAGAACTTGTAGGCTGCTGGAGTCCTGTTGACAAGCAACTTGGCACTAGGACAAAGCCCAACCACTGGGAACAGACGGCCCCAGCCCTTTGTTTCTCTCTAATCGCTAGAATCCATGTTTCCTAGAGAATGCCCCACTGTCTCATTCGAACAGTGCAGTACCTCCGACTGGGCCTCCTCCTGCCTTGTCTTCTTGCCTTTATCCACACACCCGAAGGTCTTTCTAGAAAGAGTCAGCAGGGGGCAGCCAGGAACTCAAAGGGGTTATCAGGACTCAGGCTAATCCTGCCAAGCTTGGGCAAGCTCCACATCCCTCATCTGTGGAAGGACTGTGCCGACCTCACCAAACTGTAAAGCTGGTAGACCTTTCTTGTCCCTTCTAGACACCCATGCCTTCCCCATATATTCCCTGCCCTGGTACAAGTCCCTGCCTTCTAACAAGCTCTTCTCCAACCCCTCAAACACACTCCTCAGCCCAGGCCACTCATTACTGTGTACCAAATGTCTCCACCTCCCTGCCCCAGCCAGCTGAACTGCTCCCACCTCTGGGCTTGTGGGCTTGCCCAGCCCACCTGTTTTCTGGATCTCACTCTTCCTTGTACCAAGATTAGTTATTTCCAGGTCTGTCACCCATCTGGACAGGTCATTCCACCTGGACTGTGATTCCAGGAGCGCTTGTACCATACTGGTGCAGGGCCTGGAATCAAGCTAGCAGCAACTTGCAGAACAATCACCCCTATCACTTTTGAGGCTCCCTAGGCTTCTGGCACCATGCTAAAGGCATCACAAATATCTAGTCCGTCTCTAAGGAAATAGTCTCAGAAGTCCGAAAGGATGGTGATTGGACGGGGGAGTGAGGGGCCAGCTAAAACTTCAGGCACTGTCAGCTCTCCCCACCCTACAAGCTGGGAAATCCAATGCTTATGCTACCACCCAGCTACAGCCTCTGCCTTCCAGGTTGTGACAGCGTAATTGCATAACTCAAGATATTTTTGAAAAACTGTCAGTTTCCTGTCCTGGGCACTGCTAGAACCGTGGCACTCATCCCACCCAGAGTCTTCAACAGTCTCAGAACAGTGGAGGCTAAATATAGTTGGGAATTGGGGTGATAAGGAAATGAAAACTCAAGATTGCAGAGTGACCCAGTTTTATTTTGGTTTTGGAGGCCAGATGGGGCACTGCTCCACTCTGCAAGGGTCAGGGCTGTACATCTCCCCTCCCCAGGCTGGAGGACCAGCAAGGGTCGGGGCTCAAGGATGGTGGTTCCGGGGACCCAATCCCGGTAGTGGGGCTTGTTCGAGGAGTGGGGACATCAGGCAGAGGCCTGTAATGGCTCAGAACGGGGGTTGGAGAGGGGTAGGAAAGAGACGGAACCCAGAATCTAAGAACCTCGAGCCGCAATAGTCTCCTTCACTTTACAGCTGAGGCTCAGGTCAGAGCAGTGAAGTCAAATTCATCCGGCAGTAGGCAGGGCCTCGAGGCAAGCGTGATACGGAGCTTTCGCGCTCACCGCGGCCGCCGCTCTTGCGAGGGTGCGCGGGGCCCGGCCGCCGGCTGCGGAGTCCGGCGGGCACCCAGGCCCACTTCTCCCCTTGGGCGCCGGGGCCTCTCAGCAGCTCACAGAGCCCGCGGGCGGCGCCGACCCCAGGTCCGAGAAGCAGTCGAACTCGCTCTGGCCCAGGAAGAGCTCCGGGAGCTCGCGCACGCGGTGCAGCCCGAGCTCTAGCTCCAGCGACGTCAGCGCCTCCTCGTCGATGAGCTCGGCGTCCATGCAGCCCAGGGCGTGCGCGGGCGGCGGAGGGGCCGCGGCGCCGGGCGTGGGCTGCAGGCCGGGGGGGCCTCCGGGGGCGCCCAGGGGAGCGGCCTGGCGACCCGGGTACAGCGTCGCCACCTGCTGCAGGTGCGCGCTGCCGGCGGCGGGCGGCGGCCCCGCGGGAAAGGGCTGAAAGGAGAACGGCGGCCCGAAAGCCCCGTATGCCAAGGCCCCGGCTGGGGGAGGCGGCGGTCCTAGTGGAGCCCCCTGCGGCCGCAGCCCGCTGTCCAGGCCCGGGTCCGCGTACGGCTGCAGAGTCCGGAGCGCGTGAGGACTGTGGGCGGGAGCGCCCGGAGGCGGCCTCTGCACCAGGCGATAGCCTTCGGCGAGCATCAGGTGGTCGGCCATGGCAGCGGACGGACGGTCAGCGCGGGCGGCGACCCCCGGCCTGAGCCAGCTGCTGCTCTGCGGCAGGAGCCCCGGGCGCCGTGCGGTCCCTGCAGTTCAGCCAGGCGAAGGAAAACTGAATCCGACCCTTCCCCCGCGCCCAGCCCGGGACCTCTGCGCGCCGCGTTCCGCGGTCCTGAGTTCTCCGCGGCCACAGCTCCGCACCGCAAGACTACCACGCACCTCACCCAGCCCGGCTCCGAGACCTGCGCACCGCGCTCTCGCGGCCAGCCACTTCTTCGTACTAGAGGCGGGGATGTCCCCACCCCCCAGCTGTCATTGGCTGGATGAACGGCTTCTGGGCGGGACGCGCACCCAATCCAGACCTATGCCCCGCCCTCTGACGGAGTCCCTCCCCTAGCGCCCGAGCACCGCCCCAGAGTGGCTGCGGCGATGGGGCGGGGAGTTTGGCGCTTCAGAGGTTCAGTCTGGTTTTCAGGGACTCAGACTCTAGGCTGGAATAGGCTCCAGCATAAATGTACCAGAAGGTGACACAGGGCGTGGGGCAGGGATCTTAGGCCCGCCTAAACTCTTAATTTTCCAGGTAGATAGTCTTGGGAGCAGAAGACGACTCCTAGAAATACACAGCAAAGCCTTGACCAAAGTGAGGCTCGAACCCAGGCCTTATGATGATTGTCACATCTACACAAGCCACCACGGGGCACCTCAGCGGTGAGGGGGTCCCCGGGGAGGTCGGCTGTCTGTTCACATAGTTTCCAGAGATCCAGTCGCTCCCAATCCAGCTCCCGCTGCTCCTCCTCTGTCGAAGCATGTACTGGGTTGTTATTAAAGCAGTTTATGGGCATGGCTCCTGAAGGACTTGTTCATCTTCTTCTCAGCACTTGGCGCTGAGCCTGGCCCAGCTCTTTTAGAAAAGTTGAATGAATGAACACTTGATGGAATGGGTTGCAACTCAGTCCTCTGAGCTTCTGTCTCTTTGTCTGTAAGATGTTGGCATCAGCAGCGCGGACCCTCCTGGTTCGTGGTGAGGTTTAAAGCAGATGTGTGTGCAGTGCCTGCCATAGTGCCAGGCACGTGGATGCTCAAAGCGGTCTTTCCACGAATGAAAGTCCGGATTACTCCACCTCTGATGACCGGGGGTGGGGAGCTTCTACACCTTTCCTGGGCAATAGTGATAATAACTTGGGATTTTAGAAGGCATTATATTCTCTGAGCATCCTGTGGGGAGCAGGCGTGGGTTTTCACCCCTATTCAGCAGAGAGAGACTGAGACACCCAAGAGAAAGTGGCTGTCCAGAGTCTCATGCAACAGGTTAGCCATGAAAGCCGTGTGCTCTCCAAGTCCCGAGACAGCTGGAGTCTTTCCCTGTGCTCAGGAGACACCCTCCCTGCTCTGTGACCTCCACGTGTTCGCCACTCTTTCCCTCCCACCTCTCATTCCCTTCCCCCAGCCTCAGCCTTGGACTTCCTGGAACTTGGGTTTATCTGGTTGGGGTAAGGGGGAGAAGTCTAGAGTGAGAGTCCAGAGGTCTGTGTTCTAATCATAGCCCTGCCCCCCGCAGGCATGTGACTCTTAGCTGCTGGCTGTTGCGGGGTGGGGGGGTGGGGGGGTGGGTCACTTAATTCCCCAGGGCCTCAGCTTTGTAATCAGTGAAAGGGAAGTGGTAATCCCTGCCTGGGCACACCAAGAGCTTGTGGGTAGGTCACAAAGGACCAACAGGTATGATCACATTTTTGCAAAGTGTAAAAGATGTACCTTGTAATGCATTCCTGAATCTTTCCAGTTAAGTCTACAAACAGAAATCCCTAAACTTGGCTGTTCTTGGACTCATTCAGAAGTGGTGGTGGAGGGACTGAAAAAGAATCTTCAGTCCTACCTTAACACCCAACTCAGACTAGCTGAGGGTACTCCTTTTTTTATTCTTCTTGGTACTGCTGATTAAACCCAGGCACCTTCCACCACTGAGCTACATTCCCTGCTCTTCTTATTTTTATTTTTGAAATTTTAAAACAGGGTTTCATTAAGTTGCCCAGGTGAGACTTGCACATGTGATCCTCCTGCTTCAGCCTACCTTAGTGCTGGGATTACAGGTATGTGCTACTGTGTCTGGCTATCTGTGGGTACTTTAAATCATAACATTCTGTAGTTTTAAAAATCATCCTGCCATGCTGACATAGTTGACCCAAGGACACCAGAAATTGAGAATTGTTGCACAACAAGACAATTTCTCTTTTAATTTTTATTTATTTATTTATTTTTGGTACTGGGAATCAAACTCAGGACCTTGTGCTTGCAAGGCAGTGTCACTGAACTATATCCCTGTTCCTCAATTTCTCTTTTAAAAAAGTGTATGTGAGTATTTTAAAAGTTCTTTGGGGCCAGGGATGTAGGTCAGGGTTACAGTGCCTGCCTGGCAAGTGAAAGGTCCTGAGTTTGATTCCCAGTAGCAAAAAAGAAAGTTCTTTAATTTGATTACCAAGCATTTTATTGAGCGCCTACTCTGTGCTAGGCATTGATCTACTTGTGATCTTTCAGCTTTTTTTCCTTTCCATCCATGACTTTATTTTTTTTATGTTAAAGAGAATAGTAAAAAAAATAACAATAGCAGCTTACTAGCATCACAGACATAAACAAAAGAAAGCAAGAACATTAAAAGTGATACAAGGTTTCAAAACAAAATGATAGGAATTAACAGCGGTTGTTATATTACATATTGTTATCTTCAACTATGTTGCTCAGATTATCAGATGTAAGAATGGAAGATTGTTCAAACCATTAAAGAGAATAAAAAATAATTATTAAATAAAACATTAGAGTTAATACAGAGTTTCACTAGACAAGATGGTAGGAATCCACCAATGGTTGTTTCATTGCATATTGTTGTTTTCAAATCAATTGCTCAGATTACCAGATAAAAGCATGCAAAATTGGTCAAAATATAAAAAATTTTAAGCATTAACTGTTCCTTTCAATACACCATCAGACAGAAGTAGTACAGTTATCCCAGCTATTCTTTCATATCTATATCTATCTATCTATCTATCTATCTATCTATCTATCTATCTATCTATCTGTCTATCTATCTATTGCCTTCTTTCTTCTTTCCTTCATCCCAATTGTTCCTTCCTTTGAGCAATTTCTTTCTCTTTGGTATCATCTATTGTACATTTTGAGTTTTACTTACTCTTTCAGGTTCCTACACCAGGGAGACAATATAATGTTTACATATGTGGGTCCGGTTTATTTCACTTTTGAGTATGGTCTCTATTTGCATCCATTTATCTACAAAAGCCTCGAGTTTATCTTTTTTTATAGCTGAGTATTACTCCACTGTATAAAAATACTACATCTTTTTTATCCATTCCTCAGTTGATGGGCATTTGGGTTGTTTCCAAGATTTAGCTATAACAAATGTGCTGCTGTAAACACTGGTGCACATATGTCACTGTAGTATGTTTTTAATTCTTCTGGGAAAATACCCAGAAGGGGAATAGCTGGGTTAAGTGGGACTTCTAATTCTAGTTTTGTGAGGAATCTCCAAATTGACCTCCACAGTGGTTTCACCAATCTACTCTCCCACCAACAGTGGAGTAGGGTTCCTTTTTCCCCACAGCCTCTCCAGCATTTGTTATTGGTTGATTTCTTTATGGCAACTATTCTTTCTGGGGTGAGACGGAATCTCAGTGTTGTTTTAATTTGCATTTCTCAAATGACTAATGATGTTGAACACTTTCTCATGTATTTATTTGCTATTAGTATTTCTTCATCTGAGAAGTGTATATTGATCTTTCAGGTTCCTGGTGTAGGAACCTGAAAGAGTAAGTAAAACTCAAAATGTACAATAGATGATACCAAAGAGAAAGTGTATATTGGCTTTTAAGGTCATGTGATTCTCTGTGCTTGCTTTGGCAGCACATATACTGAGGTCATGTGATTCGCTAAATAAAAATCCAGTGAAAGCTATGGATATCGTGGCCACAAACTGTAACATATGCATTCAGTGAATTAACCAACCTGGGGTGGGGGAGGCATCCATGGACTCCTCAGGAGCTCATGGAGTCTGAAGAACCCCTGTTAGGTAATTGGGGACATACAGTAAATAACAAACAAATTAAATCCATGATCCATATGTTAGAAAGAGGTGCAATAGGGAAAATTAGAGAAGCAAGGAGTTTGGGGGAGGATGGTAGAATGGCACAGGGTGGTCAGGGTAGGCCTCATGGGGACTGAGAGGCCTGAGCGGAGGAGAAGGTCTTAGCCATGTGGCTTCTGGGGCAAGAACAGATGTATCAGCCAGGCTCAGTGGCGCATGCCTGTAATTCCAGCACTCAGAAGGCTGAGGCAGGAGGATCACTGTGAGTTCAAGGTCAGCCTGGGTTACAAAGTGAGTTCAAGACCAACCTGAACTGCACAGTGAGACCCTGTCTCAAAAAAGAAAACAAACAAACACAAAACCTGATGTATCCATGCAAAACATGGCCAACATGACACTCAAAATATTTCTGGTATCAGAACATTTCAGATTTCTGATTTTTTAATTAGGAATGCTCAGCCAGCAAAGTCTATACAGATATTCTAAAATCCAAAAACCTCTAGAATCTGAAGCCCTTATGGTCCCCTGCATTTTGAATAAGACATACTCAATCATTCCCATTTCACAGAAGAAGAGACAGGGACTCAGAAGAGGAAGTGACCTGCCCAAGGTCACACAGCTGTTAGCGAAGGAGTGTGCAGCCCCCCAGTTGCCTTCCTTCCCCTTGTTACCAGCGTTCATGTAAACTCCTGGCCCGGTAGCTCCAGCTGCTTCCTCTGCTTGGAACATACCTCCTCCACGTCTACTTTGCCAATTCTTTCACCCCAACTCACCTTTCTCTTATCCCCACTACCTTATTTAATTTTAATGTTTCCAAAATATATCCACAAGTTCTTTGATACCCCTCCCTTAAAATCCCCTCTTCCTGAATATGGGACAGATATCATGACTCACTTCTAACATGAATATAGCAGAAGCGATGGTGTCACTTCCAAGAGAGACTAGGTCATAAAAGGCACTATGGTTTCCTCCTTGCTCTTTCTCCCTCTCTGTCTTTCTGTCTCTCTCTCCTGCTCTGGGGGAAGGTAGTTGATCTGTTCTAAGCACACTCAAGTGGCCGTGGAGAGGTCTACATGACAAGGAACTGAGGTGTCTTGCCAACAGTCAGTGAGGAGCTAAGGCCCTGGCAACAGCTGTACCTGTGCACCACTTTGGAAGCAAAGCCTCCAGCCCTGGTCA